CCATAAACAGACACACTGTCTCCTGATGGCTCCACATCGTTGGTACAAGAGAGCCTACAGACCATTTCGAGGAATGATCTTGAGACCTCAAAACTATCAGTGCAGGTTACAATGGGCAAGAATTGTACATCCTGGCAGCAGGATGATAGGCAATGTGTGCTCTTCACAGATGAAAGTAGCCTCAACCTGTTCAGAATTGATGGCCAGGTTTGTGTTTATCACCGTAGAGGGGAGAGACTGGCACCTAACTGCACTGAAGATGTTCAGCCTTATGCTGGTGGTCGCGTAATGATATGGACAGGGACTTATGACCAGCAGAGAACAAGACTTGTTTTCATCCATGACAGACCAAAGATACTGAGATGAAGTTCTGCAACCTGTGGCAGTGCCATTCATGCAACAGCAACACAGAGTTACCATTCTGCAGCATTATAATGCCCGACCACATACTGCTAGACTGGTTCGTGATTTATTTGAACAATGTTGACATCCACATATTACCTTGGCCAGTAAGTTCTCCTGACATGAACCTAATAGACCACCCCTGGGATCTTGATCGGCAATTGAGGCAACAGTCATATCTCTTGCAAACCGACATCAGCTTGAGCAAGATTGATTGCAAGAATGGCAAAGGATTCCCAATGATGTCATGAGACAGATGGTACAGATGGGACTTCTCAACGGCAAATTGCAATAACATTCCACAGCAGTCCAACGGCCATTAGCAATCTTTTCCAGCAATTTCAATAAACAGGCCGAACTCAAAACTGACCAAGATCCGGGTCACAACTCCAGCTGAAGACCGCTGTATCGGGACAATTCACCTCCAGAACAGGTTTGTAACTGTGACAGCAAAGGCAGCCACAGCATTGGGATACCCCATCAACAGACACACTGTCTCCTGATGGCTCCACATCGTTGGTACAAGAGCCTACAGACCATTTCTAGGAATGATCTTGAGACCTCAAAACTATCAGTGCAGGTTACAATGGGCAAGAATTGTACATCCTGGCAGCAGGATGATAGGCAATGTGTGCTCTTCACAGATGAAAGTAGCCTCAACCTGTTCAGAATTGATGGCCAGGTTTGTGTTTATCACCGTAGAGGGGAGAGACTGGCACCTAACTGCACTGAAGATGTTCAGCCTTATGCTGGTGGTCGCGTAATGATATGGACAGGGACTTATGACCAGCAGAGAACAAGACTTGTTTTCATCCATGACAGACCAAAGATACTGAGATGAAGTTCTGCAACCTGTGGCAGTGCCATTCATGCAACAGCAACACAGAGTTACCATTCTGCAGCATTATAATGCCCGACCACATACTGCTAGACTGGTTCGTGATTTATTTGAACAATGTTGACATCCACATATTACCTTGGCCAGTAAGTTCTCCTGACATGAACCTAATAGACCACCCCTGGGATCTTGATCGGCAATTGAGGCAACAGTCATATCTCTTGCAAACCGACATCAGCTTGAGCAAGATTGATTGCAAGAATGGCAAAGGATTCCCAATGATGTCATGAGACAGATGACGACATCCATGAGGAGATGCGTACGGCAGCCATGCACACTATTAATGTTGTGTCTTGTCAAATGATCAGACTGCATATGGACTTATTCGAGGGTTTCTCCTTTTTATGGAATATTTACACAGAGTGTCCACTTTCTTTTGCCGGGTAGTTTATATTTATGATATTCTGTCATTTTGTGTAAATTGAATAATAAACTTCTGAAGTTATTTCAAACTTCTTTCCTTTTCAAGTAATTAATTAAATCCATTTGAAATAAGTTTGTTTTTCATTTTTGCAGAAAAATTTTTCCATTGGTTCAACAATAATCAAAATAACATACGACCGTGACCAAATTAGCAGAATAATTTGTGCTGTTCAAAATACTGACAACAACGAAACAAATTTCTACTTTCTAAATTGTACAAATTTGTGGCAAATCGATCAAAACCAGCATCCTCCAAATACAGAGCTCAAAATTACTATATATGGTCTTAAAATAAATGAACCCAAAGTTATTTTAAGTAATACAATTATTATCAACAGTTCAGTACATGATATGAGATTAGAAAGTCACAGCGGACATGGCCAATCTCCAATCTCAGTAGCGGTAAGTATAATAACTCATTTATTAAAAATAATTAATTATGAGGGATACCTGTATTTTTTAAACTCCTTAAAATCACTCAAACTTAGCAAAGACTTAATAGATTTAAACATGCATGATGCAACACAGTTACAATCATGCATGATGTAACACAATAACAGTACAATCATGCATGAAGTAACACAGTAACAGTATAATCATGCATGATGTAACACACTAACAGTATAATCATGCATGATGTAACACAGTACAGTACAATCATGCATGATGTAACACTGTACAGTACAATCATGCATGATGTAACACACTAACAGTATAATCATGCATGATGTAACACAGTACAGTACAATCATGCATTATGAAACATAGTACAGTACAAATATTACATTTTTTCTACTTTTTGTAGTCTGATGAATTGAAATTCAACGTTGATCAAAGAGTCGATGAAATGACCAATGAATCCAGTATTATATTTAAATGTGAAGATGTGCCACTACCAACAAGTATTGAATTTAAATATCACTACATACAGATAATACAAACAACAAGTACAACTAATCATGTATCAAGCTACAACGAATATGTTGAATTGACAACCACCGATAACAATGAAATACCATGTGTCAATCTACCATCTAGAGAGGCTGTTAAATACAAGATTTATAGAGTCTCTCAATCTGGTAATAGATATCATGTGACTAAAACTTCTGACCAATCAGAGTTTATTACTCGTAAGTATGAAACAATTATACCATTACAATCAAATGATTGTATTCAATTGCATCATAAGTCATAAGTCATAATTTATTGGGTGAGGAAGATAACAGAACACATATACAACTGTGGGGACTTCTTTGTTGATCCATAGAAATGAGAGAGAGAGAGAGAGAGAGAGAGAGAGAGAGAGAGAGAAAAATGGGATTTAACGTCCCCTTGACACAAACCAGGTCATTTCGGGTCTAACATATGGTTCAATTTTATTTCAAAAATTCGCTTGCGCATAGGGGTTTTTAGCAGTGGGAGAAAACCGGAGGACATGGAGAAAACCCACAAGGTTGGACAAGCGACCCTACTCCTTGTCATGTACAACCCGGGAATCGAAACCACACCAGTTGACTCAATGACAGATCTTATGATCAAACGCACAGTCCCCCCCCCCTCCTATAAAAATGAAATGAAATGAATTAGGGTTTAACATTCTACAGTTCTGCTCGGACGGGCCTACACAATGCAGTGTGCTATAAGGGAAATATTGCCCAGGCCTACTCTTATATCGAATTCCAGGTGCCAAGGGATCATTTACGTGCATGCCAATGTTTACATGAGAACTTGGTTTTTCGTCCCATCCGAACGACTAGACAGCTTATCCTTGTCAGCACCCTCCGTCCTGCACCACTGACAAGGAAACCACGTCAGAAAATCTCGATGAACTTTCTCCGCCAATGCAGTGTCGAACACCCGACCTCCAGGCCAGCGTCTTACCCACTTAGCCACCGTTGCTCCTTGATGATCTACAAACTAAACTTGATTACCAAATCAACAATCTTAAACATACATTATGCAAGAGCTAAATCTGCCTATTGCAGGTCTTTCTTTAGGCCCGAAATGTTTTCTAAATTATTAATTAGACATTAAATTATCCAGACAATAATCAACTCTCGATGTCATCACTGGCCTGCAATATTTACTGGATTATGATACTATTTGCCGCTCAACTATCATTCTTGATTAAATCATGAAATGGATAATCTAGACTATATTTTTTATCGTATCGACTTTAGTACTGATGATCAAGGTTAGGCCGAAAATTCAATTGCTAAATTCTCGGTTCAGAAAGACCTTCAACAGGCAGACTTAGCTCCTGCCTAATCATTATTTATATATGACTCAATATTTATACTTTCAGATAATACAATGGATGATGTGAACAACTTACATCAAATGGCGTTATTAGCCAACGAAGTGACATCCATGCCCGTTCCTTATCTATTTCGAAATAAACCTAGTACCCATCCTACCATAGAAGAAGCCAAAGAAACAGGAATTATGACTAAATATATAAAAGATAATAATGGAGACCAAGCTTCTAGTATAAACGAGAAAATTAACGGATTATTTTTCAGTGCAACGGCTGATAGACGTACTCATAATCCACCTGTGAGAAGTCCTTTTGGTAATTATCGCATACTGGTTCCACCACAATACCTATTAAAATTCAATTCAATTCCAGCAAATATTTATTTTGCAGATTTTTACTGCAAGAAACAAGGAGGACGCCATTACATCACTTTGGTATTAACCAAACCTGGTAGCGCTGAAGATGTCTACTGTAAACCTAGACTTCGTAAACTTGATATTAATGATAATAAATTCTTGTATCATGATCGAATACATGACCAGTATCGTACAGACTCATCCCCAAATGTTGAGGTATTGTACACAGAAAATATTGACCTCAATGAAATGAGATCAAAATTAGGTTTCCTAGAAAAAACTGTCAAAAGTAAAGGACAAAGTAAACCAGAGGGGATTCCAAAAAATACTTCTTGCACCATTTGTAATCTCCCTAAAAATCCTTCCAGAATATAAAGTTTTTGGCCATTCTGAACAACTAGGATGTATTCCTGGCCAAATCCTCTGTTTATAATAGGTGATTAGAAAACACAAGATACAATCCAGAATATAAAGTTTTTAGCCATTCTGAACGACTAGGATGTATTCTTTGCCAAATCCTCTGTCTATAATAGGTGATTAGAGGGTGATATCCGATATCGGCCCTAGGGATGATATCAGATATCAACCTCTGGTGACGTCATGACAGGTTTACATCACTCTTAAATGAAAAGGAACCCAAATTCTTTTTCAACATTTTATTCACTTTTTTGTACAATGTTGTCAAACGATTCGGAAGACGAACGTTGCCAGGCCCATGTTACTTAGTTTCTTCATCTGACCATCAAGAATTTGTCTGAAACTCAAATTCTGGATTGTGTAGTATATCCGTAAATGTGAAACTATTCCCATGACTAAATACGGAATTCGGTGGGCAATATTCATCATTTCATTTAGCTTACTTCCGAGTAGAATCTAGATATAAAAAAAATAAGATCTTATATCCTCAAATCTTCTGGCGCACACAGGATTTTTCGCTCACTATCATGTTTATTATTTCGCCACACTGACCAACTGTTAAAAAAGCTCACAGCCCACTGATTTCTGTGTAAGGTATTTATGGGCATGGCATTGTTGGCACATTCACTGACTTCTTGTCACTCGAAATTGAAAAGCGTTTATCATTAAAATTTGTATCTCACAATCCGAAATATCCGAGTGCATTAAATCCTTGTTAAATATATTCTGCATATAATTCTGCACTTCGACTAGATTTAAATAATCCTTTGTCAGAATCTATGTTTTCTTTTTCAGCCATATTTTCTACAAACTGACTTGCGCGGATCAGTTCGTCGTCTGATTCGTTTGACAACATAGCACAAAATGAATGCCAGTTTGTGAATACGTGGTTACTCAAATGTAATGCACGTGCAACTTACAACTTGTTTTCTTAATTTTGTCATATCAGTCGTAGGCCGATATGGGCTAAAGCATTGTCTTATAGGATAGAATTAACATTGATGTTGGTGTGTAAGACAAATATTACCCTAATACCCTTGGTCGATATGTGAAATAGCCCACGGCCTCCCGCCTAGGGTTATTTCACTTATCAACCCTCGATTAGGGTAATATTTATCTCATAATCAACATTGTTCTGCAAATGATCAGAACTCATTGAAAATCAATTCGTCAAAATCAATCTGATTAAAACACAGACCCTATTTTGTTTTGTTTTTTATAGTTCAAAATTTCGCTTTACTTGTCTTTACTATTCTAGGATCTGGAAGAGTTGTTATATAATAGGCGTTTTATTGATGTGAGGAATTAGCCAATGAAACAGTCTGTTACAGCGATTTCTTGGCGTTCTCTGCGCAGAACTGTGGGTAAACCCCTAGAAACGTCAACGTTGATTGATTAATCAATATCTGACGTCATAAGGTCAAAAGCCGCTCGTTTGACATCTGATGCAAACTCCCATTATAACTTGTCAGATCTTTATGTAGTGTAGGCCATCAAAAGTATAAAAAAACAAAACAAAATATATAGATCTATATTTTAATCAGAATGCGTCAAAATTGAAAATCGATTCTCTGTCTCCCTCTTGATCTTCCAAGAGGAATTGCAGAAAATGCACTGACAAAAGGGGACAGCAATAATATGAATAAACACAGTCATTTTTGGGTAAATAAAAATAAATTCAACTAATTTTGTTTTGTTTAACACTGTACATTATATCTAAATAAAAATTGTATGTACAGGTAATTCCAATTATCCTTTTATATTGTAAATAAAAATAAATTCAACTAATTTTATTTTGTTTTAAATTGTACATTATATCTAAAAACAAATTATATGTACAGGTAATTTCAATTATCCTTTTATATTGTAAATAAAAATAAATTCAACTAATTTTATTTTGTTTTAAATTGAACATTATATCTAAATAAAAATGTACAGGTAATTTCAATTATCCTTTTATATTGTAAATAAAAATAAATTCAACTAATAATGTTTTGTTTAAACTTGTACATTATATCTAAATAAAAAATTGTTTGTACCGGTAATTTCAATGGTTTAACCTCACTTTCCCCACATTTGATTGTTTTGATAAAGGATTAGGAGGTTACTAGACTGGGTGTAGGACTATAGTCTGTTCTAATTAATTAGTATCACTGGTGTAAACTTCTCACTCTAATTATTGTTACTGGTGAACACTTCCCACTATCATTAGATTGGGCAAATTGGTGGAATCAGTTTACTAATAAATTTACATTGTGAGCTGTTTTGATGTAATAATTAATTTGAAATAAAAACAAATAAACTACTGATATATCAGTTGATATATATATACCTCCTCTGAATCACAAATGTTCATCTTCAATATACCCTCCAAAATGTCCTCTTCCCCACTCGGAATATATCATATAAAATTTATGAAGCGATCTCAAATTTCATAGAAAAAAATCGGGAATCAACTGTTAAGTAAGTTGCGGAAAAGAGCACTAGTCATGGAAAGATAACTGGTTGTGTAGAACAGATGTAAATAAATTAATTAAATCAGCCTGTCCATAATATCGTGCTTTATGTATTGGACGTTAAATTTGTAATAAACAACAACAAATGTTCATTGCTAACACTTTAAATGGCGAACACTTTAGATACATTGCTAATACTAAAGGTGGTCAGAATTTAGTGCTACTTATTTAATTTATTTACTTATCTACTTACTTATTTATTTATTTATCTACTCATTTTAATATATGCACTTACTATGTATTACTTATTATAATATAATATATATATATTTATTATATACATGTATTTGTACTTATTATATTATATATGTATTAATTTGTATATTTTTAAATTTCTGGAAATGATATAATATAAGAATCCATATTATATGTATTTTTTTTTAAATGTAATTTCGGTTTATTCCCACGAAGGCACAGTTATTGACCGTAGCGGAATAAAGGAGGTCATTTTCGACGACTTTGTGGGAATCCAGCTCCTAGGGATTAAAATGGATTCAAAACGTTAACAATGGTGTTATAGATTGTTATGATAAGAATTTACACTTTCATAATCCCCAATGTAACTAATTAACCAACATTTTAGCATCATTTTTGGCATAAGAAATAAAAACATAATTATCCTATAACAAAAATTAATGTAATTTCGCCAAATAAGACACCCTGTCTAAATACTCGACTCGACTAAAGTCAATTACTCTTCCTCATGTTTTCCTTTTAATTCCTGGAGCTGGCTTTGGATTTGAGCATATTTATATCTCTTCCTTGGTGGTTCCTGTCCCCCAGCATACTGAACAATTCTAATCTCATTAATATTTTGTTCTTGTTGTAAAAATTTGATCATTTCAAAAACATTCTTTTCCAACTAGCTTCTTGATCCTTGAATGCCATCCTTCCAGGGTGTTGCTGGTTTTGTGCTCCTCAGTGTCGTAGTGGTTTCACTGATGAGTTGCAAATTCACCCTCGAACCCTGCAAATCTCTGTACCACGTTTTGTATTTCTTCATTTTCTCTATATTACACTTGTAGACCTCCAAATAAACTGGTTAAAATTAGTACATATTAACCACCTGAGCAAAGATATCGTCCTCCGCGACTTGTACATACAAAGCTGAATTCAAGTTGTGCGTTTGCTATTGTAGAATATTATCTGAATTTCAGATAGTGTAACAGGATTTTATACATCTTTAAAAATGGCACTGATTGAGTGAGCGAATAGGTGAACACTACTTGGATGATTTGATGCTATTCATCATTAGTTGCCAATTGGTGATTAAGATTCATATTGAATACAGTGCACTCTGTCACATGCGACATCGTACCGGATCGTTACAATATGTCGGATTATGCAGAGTGTCGGAATACCCAGTTTTTTCAAAACCCGGAAATATTGTAACTTCGAAAACCGGAAGTATTATTATACATGTAATGTAGCTTCGAACATAGAACTTCGAATCACCAGAATGTTATTCCCTTTAAAAATGTTAGACCTTTCTGTACTTTCAAAATTTTATTACATTAATTTTTATTCCATTTAACATGCGTAGGCATTTTGAATAGGTTAAGCCTGTCATTAATTTATCTTCTTCGCCGTCTTCAGTTGATTGACTCTTGTCTTTGCTATGACGTGTTCATTGATAATGGGAATGGGCGTACTCGATTGAACGTTCCAGAATTGAATTCTCTCAATCCCCAAAATAGTGACAATCGACTGAAAATTGGTACTTCGGGCTACAACGCATGCGTCGACTGGATATATAAATATTTCATCCAACCATGCAGCCGAAACCTGTTCGTCGTGTTTAATTACGTCACAATTCTATTCACACCACCTCCGTCCTTGGGACTGACAGAACTGTGACAGGACTGAATTCCGCGTCACTCGATTGCAATTCTGTCAATTCGGGACTCAAGCATCCCAGGTTGTCGTCACATGGTTCGAAGAGATCCGTAGGGTGACCAAACTTATAGGTTATTCAGGTTCAATCGGCATGCGCAACGAATGTTTCCAACAGGTGCTAGGAATATTTTTACGACTGTGAATTTGGGAGAAAATTTGTGGATATTCTTGAGTATTTGTCACAACTGTCGTACAAGAGATTAAAATTATCAAAGTAATCAACAAAGACCCACGGTAGCGAGTTTAAATCTCACAGATAATTGATTGGTGATTGCTTGTTAATCTTTTGTGGCTTCACACCCATGATCCATCCAGTTTTAATCTCACGGATAATTGATCGGTAAGTGTTTGCTTCACACCCACCGATTGAAGGCCGGATTATACGGTGTGGATTCAATGGAAATCGTATGACAGGACGGCTGATTAATGTCGTAATCCGGAACGTACAGAGGTCGAATTACCCAGAGATATTTTGGCTGAAGTAATAAGGAAATAAATTGGGACATGAAAATAGTGTCGGATGTAACAGAGTGCCGGAGTGATCAGAGGTCGGATGTGACAGAGTGCACTGTACTTGGATAATTTGATGACTTTAATCATTAGTTGCCAATTGGTGAATAAAATTCAGAGTGAACATAAATTCATAAAATCTTTAACATGTTTCTCTTCAAATGAAGCTGACAAGTCGATATATCTGCGCCTTCATGGGAAGGATTACTTTTGGTCACGCTCTGTAACTGCGCCTTCATGGGAATTACACCCACCATAATTTTTTTCACTAATATTATTTAAATCATTTTGTTGAAGTGTCACAAACTTGTTGCAGTTTATACTTTAAACCCCCTTTGTTGACCGATCAGATCAAAGTCTCAACCAATCAGATCGAACTACATCTCAATTAGAACAAGCCAACAGTGAGGCTGATGTCCCCCGCCGAAATCCCAAAATAAATAGATGACACTTATTAATTAATCGCACATTTATTTTTTTCAAAAGTATCGAGCAATCAAGCAATCAAACTATACACTAAGTTTAATCACTCTCTATCAGATAGAATCAAAGTTATCTTGTTCCAAATAATCGACCAATGAAATGGCTTACCTCTGTTTAGCTTTGGCTCGAAATGTTAATCATTGAACTCACCTAATGAACATCTACATAGATGTTTAAACATTCTACCTCAATTAAAAGCAGAGTTGTTATGTTCCAAAGTCTTGACCAATCAAATTGCTTAACGATCCTTAGCCTAAGCAGAAAATTCCCATCATCAAACTTAATCAAGGTCATGATATAATGAATCTATACTCAGAGCTTCATCACTCTCACCTAATTAAAACCAAGGTTATTGACCCCAAAGCATCAACCAATCAGATTGTCTATTTCTGCTTACTGAAAGCTGACGATGTTTATCATCGAACTCCATCAAGGCATTCACCTAATGAACACCTACACCAAGTTTGAACTTCTACCTCAACTAGAGAGATAGAGAGAGAGAAAGAAATGGGGTTTAACATCCACTCGACACAACTTAGGTAATTACGGGACCAACATATGGTTCAATTTTATTGCACGTAGGGGTCTTTAGCAGTAGGAGGAAACCGGAGGACCCGGAGAAAACCCACAAAGTTGGACAGGCAACCCTAATCCTTGTCACGTACAACCGGGGATTCGAAACCACGCCAGTTGACTCAATGACAGACTTTATGATACAGCACGCACCTGCTAACCATTCAGCCATCCAACCCCCCACCTCAACTAGAAGGTGAGTTATTGTGTTTCAAAGTCTCAACCAATTAAATTGCTTATCGCTCTGCTTACCCTAAGCAGAAAATGATTATTATGGAACTTAGTCAATGTATTGATGTGATTAAACCATACCCCAAGTGTCATCACTCTCACTTAAGAACTAAAGTTATCGTGGCCCAAAGCATCAACCAATCAAATTGCTTATTGCTCTGCTTACCCAGAGTCAAAAATGCTCATTATCGAACTAAGTCAAGGTATCGGTGTGATGAAACTATACACCAATTTCCATCACTCTCACTTACATGTAATTAGAACTACTAAAGTTATCGTGTCCCAAAGCATCAACCAATCAAATTGCTTATCTCTGCTTACCCTAAAAAGACAATTCTCATCTTTGAACTCCATCAAGGCATCGACCAAATAAACATCTACACCAAGTTTGAGCATCCTACCCCAATTAGGAGAATTATTGTGTTCCAAAGTCTCGACCAATCAAACTACTTATCGCTCTGCTTACCCTGAGCAGAAAATGTTCATTTTCAAACTTAGTCAAGGTATTGATGTGATGAAGCTATACACCAAGTTCCATCACTCTCACTTAATTATATCCAAAGTTATTGTGTCCCAAATCATCAACCAGTCAAATTGCTTATCTCTGCTTACCCTAAACAGACAATTCTCATCTTCGAACTCCAAAAAGGCATTGACCTAATAAACACCTACACCAAGTTTGGACATTCCAGCTCAATAAGAACGAGAGTTATTGTGTCCCAAAATCTGTTAAGGACAGACAGATGTCCGGACGACAAAATACGTCCACATGAAAATGTGGGTGTATGATTGTGGTTAAAACATTATCTTACCTACATTTGTTTTAAAGATGGGTTCCCATGTACAAACTGGGAGATTTAATGGTATATATGGACCAAAAACATATTCAAACTAATTAATTTGTCATAATTATGCTTCAAATCCTTCTCAAACATTGTAATTGCGAAGGAATGCCCTGCTATTAAAATTCGATCAAACCAGGTCATGTTTACGTCACGTCTTGGAAGTCAGAGGAGAAATCATTGCATACATAAGACGATGTTGTCTTTAATCGTTTACTATTTATTACAAATATTGAATCCTAATTAAATTCTCGGATTATCCACTACCCCCGTCTTTTTCCGTCATTTTTATCTCAGAAAGTATTGTACGTCTAACTCTTCATAAAGTTTATGAACTTGTACATCAAGCGCTCAATGTTCGCTTGTGACCTTTGACATCGTGCGTGCAGAAGGTCATAACCTTCGGGCTGTTGATTAGGGGAACCCTTACATTTTTGTCCTGTATATGCTCCATGAGTGTTTTTCGGGGAATCCAGTATTTTTCTAGTAAGATTGGATATCTCTACTTTCCATATATACCAAAATTGCCATACTTTTATTGGAAATAACCACCCGATAAATACTTTTCTGGGAACCCATCTTTAATCCTACACTTTTAATAAATACATAATAAAATCAAAAAAAATTATTTGGTTGGCAATAGCAACTGCCAAAGATTCCTTCCTTTATATATAGAGAGAAATGGGGTTTAACGTCCACTCGACACAAACTAGGTCATTTTAAGACTACCATATGGTTCAAATCTATTTCAATAATTCGCTTGCATGTATGGGGTAACCATTCAGCCACCCACCCATCCTCCTTGTGGCACCGTAGAAGACCGAAGAGACTTTTGATACTGCACATACAAAGTTTTCACCCAGTTTCTTGCGGCTTTTTCTGCGAGCTACTAAACCCTACGACCTGTGTTTTCATGTCCCGCGGTTGTGAGCTAGGTTTTAGGCTTAAAGTAGCTAAGTCTCTAACTCAATATCATCCAAAATCTTCAACATTGAAAACACGATTTATTTGTCAAATTAAATCAACATTCATGTTGTGATCTTACCGGAAAAAGATGGGCTTTTGATATCCAATATTTAAGATAAAATAAACATTTTACCATTGGTACATGAATCGTGTACCATAATGCGCTTCAGCCCCAGTTGTATCAAGAGACTCGAGGGACGAGGCTAGACACAATGCATCAAATCAAACGGCGTATGTAGACTGGAATAACCAGACGCTAGAAATTTGCACTCGCTTGAGACTGCTGGCTTATTTCGCCGAACGTAACTGATTTGAAATTGGAGTAAAAACGGAAACCATTGAATGTAAATCAGTTTATATACATTCATATTACAGTATTATATGCGTTGCGACCCACTTTTGTCAATTTCTAGGTCCCAAATGTTAGCGATTTAGCTCCTTTAAGAGAGAGAGAGAGAGAGAGAGGGGAGAGAGAGAGAGAGAGAGAGAGATGGGGTTTAATGTCCACTAAACACAAACTATATCTTTTTGGGACTAACATATTCATTCGCCCTTCCCCCCCCCCCCAACACAAACTAGGTCATTTTGAGACTAACATATGGTTCAATTTTTATTTTAATAATTAGCTTGCGCATAGGTGTCTTTAGCAGTGGGAGGAAACCGGAGGACCCAGAGAAAATCCCCGATGTTGGACAGGCAATCCTACTCCTTGTCACATACAACCAGGGAATCGAAACCAGTTGACTCAATGAAAGGCCTACGATACAGCGTGCACATGCCATCCAACCCCCTGCTAGGCTTTAGACTCTGACTACTGCACCACCTCATAGAATATAAAAAAAAATCTAAACAAACCTCATTATCAAAAGGAATTAAGATTTCAGGGTTCTAAACATACCTTTTGAATTTCATCCAAATTGGTGAAAAATTGTGACCTCTCTAGAGTGTCCACAAGCTAAAAACGAGGTATTTCTTACAATCAGGGGCCATAATCCATGTAGTTATTGTCCGATACATGTCAATCTCGAAAAGAACGGAGATCTTTGGGAGATAAACCAATATTTAAAGTTTAGTCAAAATTGGGTGAAAATTATAAACTCTTGAGTGTCTACAAACAATTACGGACGGACATCGTGAAGTTTATCCATGTAGACAAAAGACCTACGATATCAATTCGAGAGTAAACTATTACATACTAAAATGACTTATTTTCACTCTAGAAACACAAAACCCATATTTTGGATAACATTTAAACTGGTTTCTGATATTAAAGGTCCTGTGACATAGTCTCACATTAATGATTTTTTAAAGTTGCACAGACTCTTTGTTTACAAACCAATTTTGACAAATCTTTAAAAATAAGCACTAACCAATTAGCATCACCATTTTACCCGATATTAAAGTTTTACACTTTTTTTTTTAAAAAAATATATCAATTTTATGACGTCACTTTAAAAAAAAACCTAGGTCAAATATAAAAATTCTAATTGCTCTGATCGATTGCGAATTGTGAATGGTTTCCCAAAATATAACGATATTGAAACTAGAGGCTACAATGTCCAAAAATAAAAGTTGAGAAATACAAACAGCTACAAATTGGTGATAACCCCAATCAAATTGATAATGTACATAGTAAACAATTTTTTCTTCAGATTATAGGTTTGATATACAATATGTATAAGTCATAATATTATAATTATAGCTATCATGTTACTTGAATTAAAATGACTGTGCTTAAAGTTACAATTTCATATTTTCTAAGAAAGTCAAAACATAATTATTTCTTTGTCTTTTGCTCAATAGGTTGTCAACTCACTATTATACGATCATAGGTGTCATTCTCACACTTAAAAGTCATTTACACCGGAAATAATAACACAATTACCTCCCTTGTTTTCTATTCTCCACCATGGAGTAGTTATCTTCAAACGTTGGAATTTGAAGATGAAAATGATATTTTTGCCAATTTCTCAACTGGCAATGAATTATAGGATTAATAGGATATTCTTTAACAAGGTAGGACAGTTTATAGATACCATCTATTTTAAGGCTTTATTTTAATAAATTTTAAAAATATAACTTAAAAATATGAAAACCTGTTCTAAGAATTTTCATTTTCCCACTTACATGTTTATCATCTTTACCAGGTAAATGTTTATGTTCAATTGGAAAAGAAAATTCAATGCTACAGCTAAAGTTGTTGCTGTGACAGATGTCATACATGAGGCAGGGTATACTTACACTGTATTATGTACAGAACATCTGATGTTGCTAAATAGATTTCATTGTTTGTTGTACCTTGCAACAAAAGAGTCTCTTTGTTCAATTTATGCAGTTTTACTTTCACTTTTAATTCTTTGAAAGAAAATTGCATATCTTTAAGTCAAGAGCATAATACAACAATGGAAATAGCTGATTACGATAATGCAACAACAAATTGGGTAAACCAAGTTTTAAACATGATATACATAATCTGACAACTGATTGGGAAAGCCAAGTTTAGTTTTAAATACGTAATAATTGCATAGAATGTGAATCCCAAGAAGGTTATGGATAAAAATATTAATTTGTTAGTGCTAGAAATAAAGATCAACAACAGCATAAGTCAAAATGGTTGAGGTACAAGTAAGTCACTACCATATAATTCAGTAAAACATTTAATATTAAATAATATTTTCATATTTGCAAGGGATTATTTAGGTACCGGTAGTCTTCTCTCTTGTGTTACACATTTCCATGTAATAATGCTATTTTATATCCATTTCTTTAAAAAGTCACTCAGTCTACTATTCCTTATTTTAAAGGAGAAGTCTCCATAAATCAAAGCTTTTTATATAAATAATCAAATGCTAAAAAACAAAGAAATATCGGTTTGGAAAATGATTTCCAAAACTGTTTTTAGGAGATACGTAGCTCTTTTAACACTTACCTCCAATATTCTACTAGTCGCAGAATGACTTGCAAGAATGGCAAAGGATTCTCAATGTCATAAGATGGCTGACAACATCCATGAGGAGACACATTTTGGCATATGGCGATGCCTACGGCAGCCACGCATGCTATTAATGTTGTGTCTTGTCAAATGATCCAACTGCATATGGACTTATTCGAGGGCTTCTCCTTGACTCATGTGTATGCGTAATTATTTATCGAGACGTACACTGTTGATCTTTAAACCTGACTTGTGGCTAGTACACTATTGTTAATGTTATGATTTTTGCTCCAAACATCAGAAACTTATTCCTCTCAATAAAATATTCATCGTTTAAATCAAAACTTTGTATTTTTTATGGAACATTTACTCAGAGTGTCAACTTCCTTTTGCCTGGTAGATATATTTATGATATTCTGTCATTTCATTAAAATTTTTGTGAAAAATGCAAATGAATAAAAAACTTCTGAAATATTTCAAACTTCTTTCGTTTCCAAGTAATTAATTAAATCCATTTGAAACAAGTTTGGTTTTCATTTTTACAGAAAATTTTACACATTGGTTCAACAATAATCTTTAAAATAACATACGACCGTGACCAAATTAGCAGAATAATTTGTGCTGTTCAAAATACTGACAACAACGAAACAAATTTCTACTTTCTAAATTGTACAAATTTTTGGTACATCGATCAAAACCAGCAACCTCCAAATACAGAGCTCAGAATTACTATATATGGTCTTAAAATAAATGAACCAAAAGTTATTCTACGTAATACAGTTATAATAAACAGTCCAGTACATCATATGAGATTAGAAAGTCACAACAAACATGGCCTATTTCCAATCTCAGTAGCGGTAAGTATAATCACTCATAATTAAAGAGTGTATTTTTAAACTCCTCAAAATCACTCAAATATATACTAAGCAGCAAAAGAAATGTCAGGTTGGTACATGTATGTTACTCTGAATAGACGCATTGCATAAAACTTGCAAAATGTTTTTATTACATATTTGTGACCACATCACTAACTTTACCTGAGCAATAAGGCTCCTTCCCAAACACAGAATTGAACCCAGGGTTCTCAAAAACGCAACCTGACTTCTGAGATGGTAATGTGTTCTCCATGATTTTCATGTAACCCATATTGTACGTGGTGTTCACTGGGACCAGTCCTATAAAATGTACCCCCATACCTGGTTGAATCATTCACACTACGTCAGCAGCATGCCACGACTCACGACAGCTCAGATAAACCAGGCGCTTTGAAGACAATCACTTCCAGGTCAATGTTCGGATCATCTACAGGCTTCAGCAATGCTTTCGGGCCACCGACACCACGGATGATCGCCCCCGAACTGGTAGACTAAAGGTTACCACATGGCGACAAGACAGCCATGTTGTGCGACAGCACGTGCAGAATCACTTCACACAGGCAGCTGAGACAGCACGTCAGCCATAGACCTTACCGTGGACCGATCCTCACCCTTTGCCATCCACGTGAACGTCTACAGTTTGCCCAACAACACCAGAACTGGAGACACAGGCAATGGAGAACTGTTCTGTTCACAGATGAGTGTTGGTATTGCGTATCAACTGCAGATGGCAGGACCAGAATATGCCGTTGACGTGGCCAGCATTATTCTACCAATGTGTCATGGAACGAGACTCATGGGGAGGTCCAAGCATAATGGTTTAGGGAGGAATCGACCTGAACCAGAGAATGGGTCCTGTGGTGTTCCCAAATCTTGGTACAGGGAGAGGAGGCGGCATCACAGCAGAGCGCTACATCGATCAAGCTCTCAGACCCCACGGCATACCACATTTCGCATGTCATCGAAACCACATTTTCCAGCATGACAACGCCCGTGCCCACACCGCCAGAGTTACTCGGGACCTTCTACAGCAGAACGGTGTCAACGTTATGCACTGGCCAACCCTTAGTCCAGGCTTAAACCAGATTGAACACCTTTATCTTTGGGATGAAATTCAGAGGAGACTTAAAAACGTTGTACCGAGACGAAACACAGCCGATGGATTGCGCCCAGGCTTTTCTGAGAGTGTGGTTCCAGGTGCCAATGGCGTTCAACAATCATCTGGTCCACTCCATGTACAGACGCTGCGCTGCTGTTATTGACACTCGCGGTGGACACACCAGATACTGATGTATAAACTGTGTAATGTCATGGAATTGTGATGAATTAATCACTAATGTGTCAACATACTGTTCACAAAAAATTGCTTTGATCCATTTAGTAAGTCGTTTTCTAAAATGATTTGATTAAAAGTGCTTCTCTGATTTTGAAATCGTACTGACGTTTTTGTTTTTTGCTGTTCAGTATATGTACTATAAAAGTGATAGAACATGTATCTGAGCAGACTTGATAGATTTAAACATGCATATGTAAAACAGTAACAGTACAATCATGCATGATGTAACAGTATTACATATTGATTAATAAATACACCAATAATCATAAAAATAATTATATTGGGCACATCTTCTGGTTTACTTTTTATGTATACAGACTGATGAAACAAGAGCAATAATTCTGTCAAGCAGGTTAATAATAATAATAATCATTTTCTATAGCGTTGAACATCCAGTAAGTTTAACTGCTCTCTGGAGCTTTACAAAGAATATAACATAGACAACAAGCAAAATTAAAACAAAATTATAGACATACACAAACTTGACGCATTCCATACACAAAATATAACATAAATTAAATTTTGATAATTAATTCGAAAAATATTCTGTTTTTACACATTTCTTGAAAGTTGATATATGTGGGACATTCTGTACAGTTTGGGGTATTTTATTCCCCTCTTTTGGATCAGCGTAGAGTGAGAATTTTTGGAAGCAAGTACAAAGATTTGTATGTCGTAACAATATACCCAGCTTCAAGATTCAGTCATAAACACTTTGCTGTTTTTCCATATCTACAAAAGTTTTGTATCACATTTTTGAAGCAAGGACAAGAATTTGATGTCAATAATCATTGTAATTCTGAAATATTAAATTAGACTTATCTTTATGACGTAATAATAAAACCAAGCAAGTTACATCCAAATTGGTCAATAGCTTCATGCATTTTTTATCTACCACATCTGTGAATAGATGGGCTGACAGCAAACTTTGGTGACAACAATATATACCCACTTTTAAAGCAGGCATGTAAAAAAAAAAAAATTATCTTCATAAATACAAATATTATATTTTAAATTCCTATTTTTTGTAGACTGATGAATTGAAATTCAACGTTGATCAAAGCGTCAATGAAATGACCAATGAATCCTGTATTATATTTAAATGTGAAGATGTGCCATTACCAACAAGATTCGAATTTAAATATCACTACATTCAGATAATACAAACAACAAGTACTACTAATCATGTATCAAGCTACAACGAATATGTTGAATTGACACCCACCGATAACAATGAAATACCATGTGTCAATCTACCATCTAGAGAGGCTGTTAATTACAAGATTTACAGAGTCTCTCAGTCTGGTAATAGATATCATGTGACTAAAACTTCTAATGAATCAAACTTTATTACTCGTAAGTATAAAACAATATTATACTGCCTAAAACTAGTAAATGCTCTAGTGTTTTCGCATATTGACTATTGTAACTGTCTCTATGCCAATCTCGCAGCCTCTACCTTACTTCCTCTTCAAAGAGTCCCATACATGGCCGCCAAAATGACGCTTGGTGTATCTAAATACTCAAGCTCAACTGCTGCACTCAAAGAGCACCACATCCTACCAGTAAAAGTAGAGCTGAATTCAAACTCGTCATGGTCTACAACAGTGATGGGATTTTGCCCGTATATTCCGGACTTGTCCGAATCTTTTTTCCAAACGCCCAAAATTGTCCGACCGGGAATATGCCCAATCGGACATCAAGACATGGTGTTAATATTCAAAATTCTGAAATTAATAGTTTACTGATTGTATAACCACCACTCAACCCGATTATCGTCGATAATACGCTGGATTGATTAGGTAATTAAGTGATCAACGTATTTATCGTTTAATACCGTCTATAAATAACCTACCTTGATTAACTACTTAATCTGCCTTGATTGACCGACTTAATCCTTTGTGGGACAGTTCATCAATCTAGTCGTAAACAGAAGTCATTGTTTCCCCTTTGTCGGAATATTCATCAATCCAATAACTTTGATTATAATTTTAATCCTCGTGTTAACCTCGTGGTTTCTGCATTGTCGGACATATTAATCGCATTGATGTGAGCCGACAATATGTATAAACTATAGATGTCACATATTGTAATAGACATCAATAGACAGTCATTATAACTTTCAACATGCTTCGATTCAATATAAATTGTACCCGATAACTTGTCTGTGATATTCCTTCGGTGGAAGCCAAAGTTAAATAAAGCTATTTCACACACACGCATGGTTCTAGTAAAGTAACTCAAAATGAAAGTAGTCTCTCGCGAGACACGTGAAATTAAGAGATTTAAACGTGCCGAATTTAATACGTGGGGTTTATGTTTTTAAATAAATAAACACGCTAAGAAATGTTGACGACTATGTCGATTGGAATAAGGTTAGTTAATTGTTTCAGTAAAGTAACTCAAAATGAAAGTAGTCATCTCGCGAGACACGTGAAATTAAGAAATTTAAACGTGCCGAATCAAATACGCCTGATGTGAGATAAAAGATTCTATTTTGATGGCATATTGTCGGATTTATGATCATATTTTGAGTGGGGTTTATGTTTTTAAATAAATAAATAAACACGCTAAGAAATGTTGACGACTATGTCGATTGGAATAAGGTTAGTTAATTGTTTTAGACGATAGCGCGTGCTAGAGTCGAATGCGATTATTTAGCTGCAGTTGGTGTCCCTCGCTCGTTTTTGAGCGACGTTTACTACGAAATAAATTTCGGGATGTCATATTTTTCCTTTCGTATATAAGTCAAAACAGTGTATGAGATGAATGCCGGTCTTTGCTGAAAAATGTATCGAAATAAGACCCGAAAAATATGGTAATTTGGGGGGAATTTGAAACAGGTACCGATCGACAGTAGTCGTCACACTTTCATACGATGGTATTACGATGTCATGAAATTTTGTAAGATTATTATTGACATAAATTTTAATACCGTACGGGAATTAAGCATGAAAAATAACGAGGTGAAGATATTTTTTTATTACGTATAAATTTGAATATTTTGTTGACATGTGATTCTTAATTGTGGTTTGAAAACGTCTGCTTAAATAACGATAATAGTTATGCCCCTTTATTTTCGGGAAAAAAATGTCCGACAAGAAAAATTTTGAAATCCCATCACTCTACAAGTGCCTGAACAATCTGGCCCCGGACTATTTAAAAAATCAAATTTCATATAACCTAAATAGACGTTCATCACGTTTAGCTACTACTGATCTCCTTCATGTTCCATTTACTAAAAAACTTTCGCAGACAGGGCCTTCTGTGTGGCTCGTCCTAAACTATGGAATGATCTCCCAGATTCTGGGGTTTAACATCCACTCGACACCAACTAGGTGATTTTGGGATTAAGATGGTTCAATTTTATTTCAATAATTCACTTGCGCGTAGGAGTCTCTAGCAGTGGGAGGAAACCGGAGGACCCGGAGAAAACCCTCAGATTGGACAGGTGATCCTACTCCTTGTCACGTACAACTGGGAAATAGAAACCACGCCAGTTGACTCAATGACAGACCTTACGATACAGCGCGCATGCGCTAACCATTCAGTTATCCAACCCCCCATAAAACTAACTGTACGGAGAAAATTATAAATAATACATAAAACATAGGTAACTAATGTATGCCACTTAGAGAACCATTTTTGTTTTGATTTGTACACATGTATAAAAATAAAACAGTGACCTAACTGACATTGCGTGCTGACAAAATCTTACGACTTTTTATTGTGATTGACAGTATTGAAATTTCTGGCCGACGTGTGTATACAGTGGCAGTGACAACAGAAGAACCAATGACCTAAAAACCAATGAGTTTGGTAACAACTATCAACTAAACAATGGGCGCAAGCGACTATCTGCTAACGCAAAAACAAGTTTGTGTGAGTTTTGTGTGCGTGCGAAAGATTGCTTGCGTCTTGTGTTTTATCTATCCATGAATATCCAATCAAACTAGGGTTTTTTATTATTAAAGTTACATTATGGGAGATTAGATTAAGAGCTGGTAGTTCTCACTATAATAGTTAAGAACTAGACGATGTAACTGGATTATACTGATATTTTCAGTCAAATTGCTTTACTCTAAGCAAGGAAAACCTTATTTTAAAATCTGTAGCTGTAGCATTGATTGTCATTTTTACCGTTGAACAGTAGATCAGAGTTGAGAGTTGATTATGGTCTTTTCGTGTTAATTAATGTCTAATTAATAATTTATATAACATTTCAGGCCTAAAGAAAGACCTGTATTAGGCAGATTTACCTCTTGCATAATGTTTATTTATTTACATAAATGGCAATTTTCATGAAGTCCCCCTGTTATTCTAAATGGGGGATTTTAAGTCTCCCTAAATTTTTAGTTCAAGCCCTAAATGCATGGTCTAGATTACATCTTCAATCCTTTTTTTCTGAAATTTAAATAGGGAAAATGGGCACCTGGACCTTGAACAAGAACTGAAGTCAATTGAATGTTGTTTTCAAACTCTACACATCTCTATTTAGTCTCAATTATTTATTGGTTTAAGATTAATGATCAGTATATTTCTCATACTATCAATTACGTAACATCTAAAAAATATAATTTCAAGAAGTGAAACAATCATTATTTATATATGACTCAATATTTATACATTTCAGATAATACAATGGTTGATGTGAACAACTTACATCGACTGGCGTTATTAGCCAACGTAGCAACAACCATGCCCGTTCCTTATCTATATCGAAATAAACCTAGTACCCATCTTACCATAAGAGAAGCCAACCGAACAGGAATTATGACTAAATATATAAAAGATAATAATGGAGACCAAGCTTCTAGTATAAACGAGAAAATTAACGGATTATTTTTCAGTGCAACGGCTGATAGACGTACTCATAATCCACCTGTGAGAAGTCCTTTTGGTAATTATCGCATACTGGTTCCACCACAATACCTATTAAAATTCAATTCAATTCCAGCAAATATTTATTTTGCAGATTTTTACTGCAAGAAACAAGGAGGACCCCATTACATTACCTTGGTATTAACCAAACCTGGTAGTGTGGAAGATGTCTACTGTAAACCTAGACTTCTTAAACTTGATATTAATAATAATAAATTCTTGTATTATGATCGAATACATGACCAGTATCGTACAGACTCATCCTCAAATGTTGAGGTATTGTACACAGAAAATATCAACTTGAATGAAATGAGATCAAAATTAGGTTTCCGAGAAGTATATGTTTTAAGTACAGGACAAAGTAGACCAGGGGGAATTCCAAAAAATACTTCTTGCAACATTTGTAATCTCCCAAAAAATCCTTCCAGAATATTAAGTTTTTGCCAAATCCTTGGTTTATATTAATAGGTGATTAGAGAAGACAAGATACAAGTCATCAAATAATCATCAGAAATTATTAAAAATTTCATATTAATCCCTGCTCTGACATACATTCAATCCAAGAAGCTGTTGTTCATTTGGAACAACTTTATCAGTACAGTTGTTGGTGTCTTTTTCACTACTAGTGTATGTGCTAAGATTTGTCTCACATCACCGCCTCATCCCCCTCCCCCCCACCTTTAATTTTTGTTTTAATTCTTTAATAATATTTGTTTTAATCAGTCATATATGATTTTTTTATTTTTATTATAGTTTTGATTCTGCATAATTTGTTAAAAGTCTTAGATTTTTATAATATGATTGGTTATATATTGATGTTTAATATGGTTTCTTATTCACTGGTTGTTTTTTTTTTAATCCTTATTTGTGATATGGAGATTAAGGGTTTATTATTATCAACTGTTGTTTTAGTATAATTATATATTTTCTTCCCTTTAAGGGTTTCTTATTGATTAATAATAGTTTTCATACCTATGAGGTTTCACTTCGAATGGCTTCTGATTTAAACTGTTAATTAGTTTATTGTTATCCACTTGTATATAACCTTCTGTAACAAGCCCCAAGGAAGAGTTGCTCGTCCTGCCATTCAACCGGACAAATCGACCAGACCGACGAAAACGACCCAAATATATATATATTTACATACTATGTCTAAATGTTCGTCCAAATTCATGTATGTTTTGTCAAATTTCCGTATTGCGTGCATGTCTGTAAATATTTATGCTTGTCTAAATGTTCGTCCATATTCATGTCTGTTTTGTCACTTCTTTATTCTTTGCACCTGTTATTTCATGTCTCGTTCTGTTATCCATTGTCTTCTGTACATATATATATATAAAAACCTAATTATCCTTTTTCGACTAATCAAATTGTAAATATTTCACTATGTATATATAACATGTAATTGTTTGCGATATCACCTCGGTGGAAGCGTCCGTTAAATAAAGCTATTTCACACACACACTAAATTGTCTTGTCTGCGATATAACCTTGGTGGAAGCGGACGTTAAATAAAGCTATTTCACATGATGATTATATCATTGCTTGATAACGGAGGGAGTGTCCTCATTGAAACATTGCAGTTAATAAACCTAGTGAATATTATCCATTAAGAAGTCTGTTATTAAATTTAATCCAATTGGATGATAGCTTTTTACGGCTACAGTGTCAAGTGATAATGGGCGGTTACTCTGAATTTCTGAGCCTGGAATGAATCAGTATCAACAGGGTTCTGCAAATGACCAGAACTCATTGAAAATCAATTCGTCAAAATTAAAAATCGATTCTTTGTCTCCCTCTTGATCGTCCAAGAGGAATTGTAGAAAATGCACTGACAAAAGGGGACAGCAATAATATGACTAAACCCATTAATATGTGAGTAAATAAAAATAAATTCAACTAATTTTGTTGTTTTTAACATTGTACATTATATCTAAATAAAAATTGTATGTACAGGTTATTTCGGGGTGTTCCCAATAAGCCGGCAGGCTTTGATGTCAAATTTTGCCGCTAATCCAGAGTTAATCCTAGAACAATGGTGTTATAAACTATAGTCCATATCTTTTTTAAGACTAAAACTGTATTGATTTTAACAAATTTAACTTTTATTAAATAACATTAAATAGCTTACACATATAAAAATATATTGATTTTAACAAATTTAATATTTATTAAATAACATTAAATGATTTACAGTAGCTGGACAAGTTTTTGTTGAACATTTCCAATGGACGGCATTTGGTCTGCTTGACTTTATACTGAACTTGTAACCATTGTGTATTAAATATCGGCCACCTCGATTATTGGAGATAAAGCGAATATTAACCTGAACGTTTGCCATTTTAAAAAAAAATATAATTTCGACGCAGATCGACCATCTATTTATATTAATATAGTGAATTGAATTCATGTTTGAAATCATAACGCTGGCATGAACTGTGTTCAAAATGTCATTAATTAGTTGGTTAATAAATTTTATGAAGAGGGATTAACAGCTCATTAACGCTGAACACTAGTGAACAGTTCTTGAGTGACTACTTTTAAACAGACTATAGTTTTAAGATCAATCAAAGGATTAACAGTCTGCCGGCTAAGTGGGAACACACCGTTATTTCAATGGTTTAACCTCACTTTCCCTACATTTGATTGTTTTGATAAAGGATTAGGAGGTTACTAGACTAGGTGTAGGACTATAGTCTGTTCTAAAAAATTAGTATCACTATCAGTAGATTGGGCAAATTGGTGGAATCAGTTTAAATTTACATTGTGAGCTGTTTTGATGTAATAATTAATTTGAATTAAAAACAAATAAACTACTGATATATCAGTTGATATATATAGCTCCTCTGAATCACAAATGGTCATTCCAAAATGACGAACGCTCTGGTTAACTTTAGATACATTGCTAATACTAAAGCTGATCAGAATTTAATTTATTCATTTTAATATATGCACTTACTATGTATTACTTATTATAATATAATATATATATATTTATTATATATTATATATTTGTACTTATTATATATGTATTAATTTGTATATTATTAAAATTCTGGAAATGGTATAATATAAGAATCCATATTATATGTATTTTTTAAACTTGTAATCTTTTTCACTAATATTATTTAAATCATTTTGTTGAAGTGTCACAAACTTGTTTCAGATTATACTTTAAACCCCCTTTGTTGATTAATTAGTCATGGCCTGGTGGACCCAGACTCTAGATGTGGGGAAAGTGAGGTGTCCTCATTTCAATTATCCTTTTGTATTGTTTTTATTGTTTTTATTTATCTGTGTGTAAAAATTAAAAATAAAATCTTATGAGTTTGGTAAATTTCTGACTGATTGAATTATTTTGAATTTCTATAGACTGCATTGAGCATAGCTCTGTGTATGCAATTGTGTAAAAGTATGTAATACAAAGGTTGTTGACCCTCTAGAGGCCACAATTTGTGTTCGATTTTGATGAAACTTATAATATATCTTTATATCTTAAAGATCTCAGTCCCTTTTGATATTCACACCTTTCAGACCATAACTTCCTGGATTATTGTCCCTGATTGTACGAAAAATCCTGTTTTTTTTTAAAATTTGTTCTCTCTCCATCTCTCCCAAAATGTGGACGTATCTTGCATGGCAACCGCTTGTTATAAGTGTAAGCCAATGTGTACATGTGTGTAATGTGGTTTTTCATGGCATCCTTACAACTAGGCACGTGTGAGAACTGGGCTTGAAAAATACTGAGGGTTTGAACTCAGACCATTCCAGGTATCTACTTCTATAAACTGTTATCATTGTAACCCAGGTATCATTTAATCTTGTGTATCTAGCACTAAAGTCTTTCACATTTGTTTAATATCAAATCTTTGTTAAAAAATTTGTAAAAACTGTTTAAAATCACCATAAATCGTTTAATTTGTACTTCTGTCCAGTTCAAAGCTGATTTGTAAAAATCAATTAAAATCACCAAAAATCATCTAATTTGTACTTGTGTCCAGTTTAAAGCTGACTGATCAATTTTGATAATGAGTGTCCAATTTACAAGTGTTTAATTTCTCAGTCACTGTACAAATTAGATGATTTTTGGTGATTTTTACAAATTTTTAAACAAAGATTTGATATTGAATGAATGTGAAAAAAATTAGTGCTAGATACACAAGATTAATTGATACAGGGGTTACAGTGTAAGGCGATCATAAATAGGCATACAGGTTACTTCTACACACTATTTCTGTAGGGGATAAATAGTAGCGACACGAGTCAAATAAGTATTACTAAAGATACATGTAGATGATCAGTTGTTGTCAGAAATGTTTTTATGCATCTATATCCAACAAGCTAACAGTGGGGCTGATGTCCCCTACCGAAATCCCAAAATAATAGATGACACATATTAATTAATTGCACATTTATCTTTTTCAAAAGAATCGAGCAATCAAACTGATTATCAACTATACACAAAGTTATCGTGTTCCAAATTCTCCATCACTCAAATTGCTAATCTTGGTTTAGCGTTAGTGGTAAATGTGCATGACAGAACTCTGTCAGGGCATTCACCTAATAGACACCTACACCAAGTTTGAACATTCTAAATTAGAAGGAGAATTATTGTATTCTAAGGTCTTGACCGATTAGATCAAAGTCTCAACTACATCAAATTGCTTACCGCTCTTCTTACCCAGAGTCAAAATTGCTCATTATTGAATCAAGTCAAGGTATCAATGTGATGAAACTATACACCAAGTTCCATCACTCTCACTTAATTATAACCAAAGTTATTGTGTCCCAAAGCATCAACCAATCTTATTGCTTACCTCTGCTTACTATGCTCATCTTCAAACTCCATCAAGGAATTGACCTAATAAACACCTACGCTAAGTTTGGATATTCCAGCTCAATTAGAAGGAGAGATATTGTGTTCCAAAATGTGTTACGGACGGACATCCGAATGACAATATATATCCACATGAAAATGTGGGCGTATAAAAAGGATTGTGGTTAAAACATCATCTTAAAGGACAATATTGGTGCCAGTCATTATCACATATGTGATAGAACTGGGGGGTTGGGATGGCCTAGTGGTCTAGAGTGTCACGCTTCGACCTCTAGTTGGCCGGTCACCTCTGGCTTGCGGCTGTGGTTTCGATCCCAGGTGTGAGCGTATGTGGCTTGGAGATAGGGGCGCCTTCTCAACCTCGTGGGTTTACTCCGGGTACTCCGGTTTCCTCCCACAGCAAAGACCCCTGCGCGTGCGGTAAGATCATTAAAATGAACTTGTCTGCGATATCACCTTCGGTGGAAGCGGACGTTAAACGCTAAGAACAACAACAAACACATTCCAAATATACTTTTAACACAGAGATCATTGCTACGATAGCTGAGTAATACACATTTTCCCGCATCGGAAGTGACGAACGTCAAAGGAAAACATGAGTCAACGCTCTATATAAATGACTGAAGCGACGAGTGATTACAGATACACGGCCGAATTTCTGCTCACTAATAATTCAGTCGAAGACCAAGAGTTGTTATATGGGACTGTAAGAGGATACCTGACAATTCAATAAAGTAATTGAATGTCATTAGATAAGAGAACACGAGAAAAGTAGAAATAGTCCGTACATTCCCTTGTTTACATTCAGTCTATAGCTTATAAAAACATGGTAATGCACGGACGTTTTCTGTTTTTCTTTCGTGTTCTCTTATCTGGTTGCAGTTAATTCTTTTTATGAATTGTCAGATATCCCCTCACGTCTCACACAACAGCTTTTGGTCTTCGAAAGAATTATTAGTGAGCAGAAACCCGGCCGTGTATCTGTTATCACTCGTCACATCAGTCAGTTATATAGAGAGATGACTCGTGTTTTCCTTTGACGTTCGTCACTTCCGATGCGGGAACCGTGTATTACTCAGCTATCGTAGCAATGATCTCTGTGTTAAAATTATATTTGGAATGTGTTTAATCAGCTCTATCACATATGTTATAATGACTGGCACCAATATTGTCCTTTAACTACATTTGTTTTAATCCTACACTTTTAATAAATACATTTTATATAAAAAAAAAAATCATTTGGGGGGCATTCGCAACTTCCAAAGATTCCTTCATTTATATATAGAGCGAAATGGGGTTTAACGTCCACTCGACACAAACTAGGTCATTTTGGGACTAACATATGGTTCAATTTTTATTTAATAATTAGCTAGCGCGTAGGGGTCTTTAGCAGTGGGAGGAAACTGGAGGACCCGGAGAAAATCCACGATGTTGGACAGGCAACCCTACTCCTTGTCACATACAACCAGGGAATCGAAACCAGTTATCTCAATGACATACTGTACGATACAGCATGATACAACGCGCACATGCCATCAAACCCCCCGCACCTCACAGAATATAAAAAAAGCCCTCTTAAACTAACCTCATTGATAATTGTTTCAAACTGTGATCGAACAGATTCACTAATTTGATCTTTTATTTCTGGATCTTGAGCTTGAAATACTTTCTTTACTTCATCTATTTCTGTCAAATTATAACAATAACACAATATAAAATATAATTCCTAGAATACAGTTAATAACAGTTATAAAAGAGAAAGAGAGAGAGGGAGAGAGAGAGAGAAATAGGGTTAAACATCCACTCGACACAATCTAGGTCATTTCGAGATTAACATTTGGTTCAATTTTGTTTCAACAATTTGCTAGCACCCAGGGTCTTTAGCAGTGGGAGGAAACTGGAGGACTCTGAGAAAACACACCTTTTCACATACATGGGGGGAATCGAAACCATGCCACTTGACTCAATGGCAGATCCTATGATGAAACGTGCATGCATTAACCATTCAGCTACCCAACCCAATTGGATTTAATAAACACCTAATACAAACTGTGAACTAAAAGTCACAAGTGAGTAGAGAGAGAGAGAGAGAGAAATGGGGTTTAATGTCCACTCGACACAAACTAGGTCATTTTGGGACTAACATATGGTTTAATTGTATTTCAATAATTCGCTTGCGCATAGGGGTCTTTAGCAGTGGGAGGAAACCGGAGGACCCGGAGAAAACCCACGAGGTTGGACAGGCGACCCTACTCCTTGTCACGTACAACCGTGAATTTGAAACCACGCCAGTCGACTCAATGACAGACTTTATGATACAGCGCGCGTATGCTAACCATTCAGCCATCCAACCCTCCCCCCACAAAGGAGTAGAAACTCCTACGGGTTAAAAAGTCAACTTACTCCTTGTCACCTAGAATTGAACCATAACTTGCATGCCTAATGGACCTTTTGATCAACAGCGCACATGTTAGACCACTCGTCTACTCAACCCCAAAATAAGAGTTTTGTTACAGTGTTTAAATACTACGTTACAGAATGTACACCAAATAGACGGTCAGCAGCTTTTCCGCCTCCTGTTACATGAGCGTCAAGTGCATACGGGTGGGCCTCAGTTTTTTTTTATCCAATACGAAGGACTAAGCAAAGTGCAAAATTTATTGTTTCACTGATGGTACGTTTGTCTACCTTGTTGAAATTGTCCAATAATCTCTTCATCTTCATCTGTTTTTTCTTTATTTTCATCATCAGATTTTTCTGTGTTTAAATTCTCCTTTTGCCTATTAAAAACAGAATTAATTACATTTTATATATTAAAATTACAGTAAACATATTCTATAGCTTCCACTTGATCCATGGCTATCCTTAGTAAGGATGATTCTATAATTGTCATATTACAATAATCTCCTTTATTCCAGATTTAGGTAAGATTTAGGTAACTTAGGTAAGGATTAAACATAGTGTGTTGTATATTGTTATACATGGACACAACATCCTCGCTTATTTGTAGTCATTTATGTCTTTCACCATTCCCACTATTTGAATGGTGGTTTTTGTTGATTTTTGGGATTTGAATGGAAGAAGAGGGATTTAATTTACAACTTCTACAAGGTGAATAGTCATGATTTTGATGCAGAATAATAATATGGTTGAAAGGCTTGTTCCAGTGATAATATGTAAGGCAGTGTGCTTTTTCCAGTTTGAGTATACCTCATTTTATCGACAATCTACCTCATACATGGCTTAAAACAATGATACGTTTTGTTCCTCAAATGTTAGAAAATGTTCAGGTCATGAAAGGTTGGGATAAGTTAAAGCTGGGCAAACGGACAAGAATCAAAATTCAAGTCAATGAAAAAACTATAGTGGTCTGCATCCAGACAGTGTGTTTCAAGTAATTATCTCCCTTTAACTATAGTTCTTTCGTTTTAAAGAACACATTAAATTACTCAATTGTGTTAAATTTATAAAACATAAACAATTAATTTCCTCTGGCACATTGATGCTTTAAAATATGTTCTTCATTTTGATTACAAACTTCTATTTACATAGAAACGTAGGACCTTAAACCCAATTTCATTCATTCGATTTATTGAAAACTTGCACCAAATTTACCAACTCTGTTTATATAAAAGAGTTTTCAAAACAAATAATAAAGCGAGAGAAAGAGAAATGGGGTATAACGTCTACTCAACATAAACTAGGTCATTTCGGGACTATCATGGTTCAATTTTATTTCAATAATTCTTTTGTACGTAGGGGTCTTTAGCAGTGGGAGAAAACCGGAGGACCCGGAGAAAACCCAAAAGGATGGACAGACGACCCTACACCTTGTCATGTACAAGCGGGGAATTGAAACCAAGCTGCTTGACTCAATGACAGATCTTATGACCAAAGCACACACATTAAACCACTAGACCACCCAATCCCCCTAAATAACAAAACAAATTACCTGTTAATTATTTCTGATTCTTCTTTCTTCCTATCTTTATCAATTTTAGATGATTTTCTTAATTTAGCGGTTTTCTGTTTTTGTGCCTCTGTTAATTGTTCTCGTAAAACACTTTCTAAATCTTCCATATTTTCTATGACTTTTATAGACATCTTCATATCTGTTGACTCAGCTAAAGAATTAGAATATAATAAGTAGAAATAAAAACAAACCGAAAATAATCTTCCTGTGACAAGATGACTATTAATTTCCGACGTGGTTTCCCCTTGTCAGTGATGCAGGACGGAGGGCCTGACAAGGACAGCTGTCTAGTCCTTTGGATGAGACGAAAAACCGAGGTCCCGTGTAAACATTGGAATGCACGTAAAAGATCCCTTGGCAGTTGGAATTCGATATAAGAGTAGGCGATAGTGCCGCTGCAAGGGCAAAATTTCCCTCATAGCACACTGTATGGCGTATGCCCGTCTTCATTAGCCCAGTATAGGAGCAGAACAGTAGGACGTTAAACCCCATTTCATTTTATTTCATGACTATGAATACTTTGCTATACTATACTATGTAATACCACACGATGGGCTTCTGATATCCAAAACTTAATACAAAATAAACATTTTAGAATTGGTACACGAATCATGTACCATAACGCGTTTCAGCGCCATTTGTAACAAGAGACAAGAAAGAACAAGGGTAGACATATTCCACAAGTTATGCCATATTCTTATCTGGAGAGCATGCGCAATAGACTGGAATAACTAAACGCTAGAGATTGCTATTCGATTGAGACTTCTGGAGTATTTTGCCGAACATAACTGATTTGAAATTAAGAGTCAAAACGGAAACGATTGAAAGTAAATGAGTTTATATACATTCAGATTACATTATTATTTGCGTTGCGACCCATTTGTGTCAATTTCTAGGTCCCAAATATTAGCGATTTAGCTCCTTTAAGTACATAATTAAATGAAATTCCGGATACTATTCATCATCTATTTTAAAGCTTATAATTTGATAACCACTTCCATTGTTCGGACAATGTCTAAATTTTGAAGGTTCAAAGGGGTATTATGTAAGATTTAGATAAAGAGCTGACAGTTCTCACTATAATAGTTAAAAAAATAGATAATGATAAGAGAATATGCTGAAACTAGATGATGTCATGGTAGTGTAACTGCCACTCTGTGGGGAGATGCCTGGGAAGAAGTCTTGGAATAAATTTTTTAAAACAAAAAATGAAAGTAAAAACAAGACTTACTTCCTGTTTGTTCTTCTATTTTATTAATTTCTTTATCAAAGGCTTTATGTATAGCTTTTTCTAATTGTGGTACATCTAATGCTTTACTAGAATCACCAACAACTCTATGGGTTTCAGTTCGACCAGTTAAAACTGTTTGATCATCTCCGATCTCTGCTAAAATATCAACATTTTAAAAATAATATAATACAAGAAGCAATTAAAGAAAATACTGCCTTGTTGATTGGGAATATTTATTTCTATCTGAAATTTTACAAACCCATATTTTGATACAGAGCCACAGTGGTAAAGTGAGTGAGGCACTTAGGTCATTTTTAGATAAACATCTCTTCAACTTCCAACAGTTAAAAGTTCTTATGTGTAATTATTAACCTATAACGGAAAATCTCTTTGATCTTTGGGATATATTCTATGCCAGGAATAACTTGCGATCTGAAAGAGGGGCGGCTTTGAATATATACAATGGAATTTGGGGTTATTATTCTGAAAGTTTCTTTTTAAACCTGTAACAGGTAATTCTTCAAGGGTAGGGTTTTTTTTTCCATTAGAAAACATGAAATAAGGTTTTCCTTATGGCAATTCTGCGATATTCTCATTTTATGTACATGTAAACATAGACAGTTTATAAGCAAGTCCTCGACGTTGGTTTTTTCTGGGGAAGAAAGACTTTAGAAAAAAAACCTTGAATAAAAAACCCTCTTTCTTTCTCCAGCCTAACCTCAGTCTTGTGCTTTATCTTACATAAGACACACTACTTTCTGTATAAAACTTGCTTGAAAATCCTGAAGGTTCTAATTGACCGAAGCTGGGAATAGAAACTAGAACATTCTAGTATACAGATCAAACTGTGCCCTGACCATTCAACTCACACGGCCCACTGTAAGATAAAAAGGAATATATGAAAATATTTACCATCTTGTAAACGAGCTTGTTTCTCTGTTTCAAGTTGAGTTAATCTGTCCTTTTTCTCATTCTCTAATTGAGCTATTCTTTCTTTTAGTTCAGCTTCTTTTCTCCTTTCTTCTTCAGCTAAATATAAAATATTATGAGTTTTTAATATAACAATAACTATCAAAATACTACTAAATACAATATTTAATTAACAAATTTATCACCCCAAGTACAATTTCTCTAAAGTCATCAGATTGGAAATATTCAGAGTTTGAAAACTTTGCTATGATTTTTACAGACTAATTAGAAAATTGGGGGATCACGGTGGCTAAGTGGGTAAGACGCTGGCTCGCTAGCCAGGAGGTCGGGTGTTCAATCCCTCATAGCACACTGTATGGCATATACCCATTTTTCATTTGCCTAGTTCGTAGCAGAACAGTAGGATGATAAACTTAATTCATTTCATTTCACTTAGAAAATTCCCACCCATTTATTATCTAACCTATCAAGTCAGCTGTTAAAGCCTCTGATAGTATTTGAGTGATTGTTAATCCCTTGCAAACTACAATATCTCAAAAATATGATGAAACGAAAAATTTTGCTACATTCGGCAAACTCTGCAAATGATTCAACCCTTTAGCACTTTGATCACCAAGAACCAGCCTCAATAGAGCTCCTTAGACCACCCTGTTACATACATAGCAATGGCACCCCTACAAACCACTAAATGATCCTATAATATGGAAAGGTATTCACATATCCCAGATGGTTTGAGCCAGTGTAAGGAACAGCAGTTTCTGTCTGTTCAGTGATGTTCCTGTATTAATATATCATTTTTCTCTAATTAATGGAACTGGGGTAGCCAATATTTAAATGAACCAATATAAAGGGTTAAAGTGTTGGACTCCTAAAATGAAAGTAGAAAAATTTGTAAGAATTACCTGCCAGGTCTAAAAGATAATCGTTATATTGTTGTTGATCAACTAATGGATTACAGGTAATAGGTACAGGTGTTTTAGGTGAAGCAGGTTTCAGGTGGGGATGATTACATATTTTATTGGTATGAACTGTTAATATATAGGCACAGGTCTGTGGTTCATCTATTCTAGATATATAATCATTTACTGTATCTTCACATATAAACTATAATAAAGTAAGAAGAAGTCAGTAAGTAAGTGTTTATTAAATTATCAGACATTTACTATAAAGTAAATGAAACTAATGAAAGGTAAGTAATTAATTAAAGCATCAGACATTTACTGTATCTTCACATATACTATTCAAAAAAAGTAGGGGATATTTGATTTTTAAGTGTTATTAAAGTCACCTAATGAAACTGACGAAGAAACAAATGACAAAATGAAATAAAGTTCACATTCATCGATTTATTCCAAATGATCGTTAGACTAAGTAAGGCACAGACTGACCATTATAAGGGTAAAATGATACCCGGGGTCAAACAGCAAAGTTACCACAGCATCACAACCAAGTCAGTAACGGGTAAATCCTCCTCTGTTTGCCAAACAAGCATTGATCCGACGTGGCATACTCCTAATGAGACGTCTAAGGTCATTTTGGTCCAGATTGTCCCATTCCTGTTGCAACGCAGCAGCAAGTTCTTGGACATTGGCAGGACGTTGTTGACGTTGACGTAACCTCTGTCCAAGCATGTCCCAGACATGCTCGGTGGGGGAGAGGTCGGGACTCAGTGCTGGCCAAGGTAATGTGGTGATGTTCTGTTGTTGGAGGTAACCTGTAACGATCCTGGCCCTGTGACATCTTGCGTTGTCGTCCTGGAAGATGAAACGGCGGCCATGACGTCGTGCAACGGCACAACATGGACTGCCAAGATGTTGTCCCGGTAGTACTGGCCTGTAACACGCCCTGCAACAACATGTAAAGCCGTTCTTCCAGCAACAGTGATGCCTCCCCACACCATAACAGAACCACCCCCAAATCGATCATGTCTGATGACGTTAACGTCTTGGAAGCGCTCGTTTCGACGACGCCACACCCTCCTACGTCTGTCCAAAAAATCAACAGTGAACCTTGACTCATCTGAAAACATCACATTGCTCCAGCGTCGATTATCCCAGTGTTGACGATCCCTACACCAACGACGTCTTGCCTGAATGTGATGATCTCTCAAACAAGGGATCACGCGAGGACGTCGGGCGCGAAGGTGACCCCTATGCAGTCGATTCCGAATCGTCTGGCCACTCACTCTCACACCAGTGTCTGTTTCAAGACGAGCGCTGATCTGATTTGCTGTGATGACACGATTTCTCAAGGCCAAGGTACGGATAAATCGATCCTGGGCTTGAGTTGTCGCCCTTGGTCGACCTGAGCGTGGTCTGTCCTGTACCATATGACAGACTGAGAAACATTCATCGTCCGCGCCACAACCGCCTGTGTTGTGCCGATCTGTAGCATGCCAAGGGCACGTAACCTTTCATTTTGGGTAAGCCGACGCATATCAAAATTTGTTTTCTGGTCACTAAAACATTTAAACTGATGTTTCCACCCTGGAATTCAATGCCACAATGACTGTAACATTCAAAGTCAGAGTCGTGCAAATCTTGGGTTGGACCCCCATGATGATCCCAAGCATCACCTGCATTCCATGCGGTAGCTATTGGTGCGTTTGGGCGTCACATGTAACTGGAAATGTTTCTTCTGTTAGGTTCTATAGTGACTTTTTTCGTAGTCATTTGCATATTTTAGTATTATGCCCCCAAAATCAAATATCCCCTACTTTTTTTGAATAGTATAGAAACTACATGTATATTAAAGTAAGAAAAGTTAGAAAGGAAGTGTTTATTAAAGTATCCAACATTTCCTATAAAGTAATTGAAGGGTAAGTAATTAATTAAAGTATCACACATTTACTTTATCTTCACATAAAAACTATATTAAAGTAAAGGTAAGTGTTTATTAAAGTGTCACACATTTACTGTATCTTCACATGTAAATTGTTTAAAGTGTCACACATTGCATACAATAATATATATTCTTCAAACTCCACAAACTGTCAGAATCATGTTAATAGCTATGTACTATTTAAGGACCGTACACAAGTTCTGTGACTCTTTCAGTCTAGGGAGCAGTCGTTCTGGACGGTATCAAAACTAAGCTACAAAACTAAATGTCGCAAAGATTGCTTTATATATACCATTACTAATCATTTACACCAATCATTACTACTGAAAATATTACCGGTACCTAAAAAGTCTTCAGAACTAGCATTCAACAAAGTTAATTTCAACCCAATTCTAGTAATATCATAATTATTAAGAAATGTAATAACTAAGATTAACAAATATAAGTGGAGGTACTTACTCTGACTTCAGCCGATCTGAAACCATTTGTTAGTTCACATTTAGAACCATTAACATATTTCTGACTATGATATCTATTTAATGCATGACTGTTTTTTAATTTCTGCTCCTAAAAAACAAAAAAACATAATCAGGATCAGACGTCTGAACATTTTAATTAAACTAATCTGTTTTAATTCTCTCTTCCAATTTTATTGAGCTGAAAAAATTCAGAATGATCAGAATGGATCTCAGATGTGCTTGTTGAATATGTACGAGCGTATATAAATTATTATAAAAAGCATTTGTCTGTGTATGCAGGGGTTAGTGGAAATGGCTCACTAACCAAAATGAAATGGGGCTTAACGTCCTACCTTTCTGCTCCATACAGTGTGCTATGAGGGAAATTTTTCCCAGACAGCAGTACTATGGCCTACTCATATATTGAATTCCAACTGTCAAGTAATTTTTTGTACACGGGACCTCGTTTTTTTTTTTTATCCCATCCGAACGACTTAACAGCTGTCCTTGTCAGGACCTCCATCCTGCATCACAGACATGGGGGAACCACGCCGAAAAATCTAGATGAACTTTCTCAGCCAATGCAGGGATAGAACACCAGACCTCCAGGCTAGCGTGCCAGTATCTTACCCACTTAGCCACCGTGAGCCCCCAGCTCACTAACCACGAGGTTCAAGTTTGATCCCAGAGTTAGCGAAAGAAGTACCTCAGGATTTTCTAAACTGGTTTCCCCATGTCAATGGTGCACATATACACATGATCAGTTACTTATGGAGGTTAAATAGATTTGCATATGAATACAGCATGTGCCTTTACTGTATTAATCATCAAAATAACTGGCTATCATAATAAATGATAGTTTATTGGATTGTCAAATAGTTAGCACGTGTGTGCTATACCATACACCTTGTCACGGTTGTACGTGACAAGGTGTATGGTCGCCTGTCCAACCTCGTAGGTTTTCTCTGGGTTCTCCGGTTTCCTCCCACAAATGAACCATGTTTTAGTCCCGAAATGAACTAGTTTGTGTCCAGTGGACGTTAAACCCCATCTCTCTCTTTCTACAACAGACATGTAAATAAATTTTATTAGAAAACAAAACATAATAAATAAATAAATTCTTACTGTTAGGGTTTCATTATTCCAATCAAAATCAGATTCATATTGTCCAATGAAAATGACATCACCTTTTATTTTACCATCTGCAAAAAAACAAAATAACAGAGAAAGGGAAATAACTCTCTTTTTCATGGTCGGACTAAACAGTTACAGTTATGATGGCAATGTACATGTAGTGCACTGCTAATATACTGACAACTTGTCTGACATGATTTTAAAATCATATCCAGCATAAATAGTGGAAAAGACGTTGAAATCTGTAGACCATCAGCTCCTAATGAAATTCCTTGTTCTATTATTACCATGTATTTCAAATGCTTACATCTATTTATTTCTCAAGTTTATGAAATTAATCAATAATACTTAATTGGCACTTGAATATATATACTGAATAAACAAATCAAATAAATGTGAATTGTTCCAAACCTTCGAGATGAAACTGACGGATATGTTTTTTGTAACAAAATTCATAACTCCACCAATCTCTTGTCTGAAATATTAAAATTTGAAGATATACATGTATGACATTTATATTCTGCTATTCAAACACTGATACATTCAGATATAATTAAACAGAATAAGTTGTCCATATTGGATCAAAATAAACTAAAAACAACATAGGTGACTTTTCCTATTGACAAAATACATTCAATTGAAAAGGACAAGAAACTGTAGATTTTGTTCTTTTTGTACAGTTTTGTAATCCAGGTATCATTTAATCTTGTGTATCTAGCACTAATTTCTTTCACATATGTTCAATATCAAATTTTTGTTTAAAAATTCGTAAAAACTGTTTAAAATCACCATAAATCATCTAATTTATACTAGTGTTCAGTTTAAAGCTGACCATTCAATTTTGATAATGAGTGTCAAATTTACAATTGTTTAATTTCTCAATCACTGTTGAAAAATAAACAACCCAATTGATTAATGATGTATAATGATTAATGTTTGGACAGTGGTCAGGAAATTAAATACTTGTAAATTGGACACTCATTATCAAAATTAATCAGTCAGCTTTAAACTGGACACAAGTACAAATTAGATGATTTTTGGTGATTTTAAACGATTTTTACGAATTTTTAAACAAAGATCTGATATTAAACAAATGTGAAAGGAATTAGTGCTAGATACACAAGATTAAATAATACCTGGGTTACAGTGTTAGTAGCCTTTGAATTTCAATGAATGTTAAAATTTGTTTGAGCTCAATTGATCAAGATTTAGCCTTCTGTTTACACTGCAAAAACCACATTTGGGTACATCAATCATATAAAGATATCTGAGCTTTCTATTGAAACAATATTTGTCATATTTATCTAATTTGCCAATATCCTACTTTAAAGATATCATGAAAGTGAAAACATATTTATGACAAAGATTATAGTCAAATTTATACATTTAGTTTTGGATCATAAATGCCTACATGGATTACAAAACACATTATTGCTTGTGTTCTTTTAAAAATAAATACAAAATCAGACAATCCTTAGATATCATCAATTGTATCATATTAACTATGGATTCAAAATGTTTTCTTTCATTTTGTTTTTTAATCTAATTCTTTTAACATTTAGTCAACTATATAAAGTACAAATGTATGCTACCTTGATTAAACATGCAGACGTTTCCATGGGTTTCAATAATTCTAGTACTCCTGTTTCCAACGCAACCCTCTCTCTTTCTTCTTGCCGACGTTCCTGTTCCACCTGATCCGGAACAGAACATTGGTAGTTCTGTCCATATTTGGATGTTAGTTGTATTGAACCCACAGGTAATTCCTGAAAAAAATCAAAATTATAATCTCAAAACTTTAAATTTCAATCAGAATATGGACGGACCAGATATAGGTTTATCAAAAGTACCAAGTTAAAAAAACAGAGGATGTATCAACTATTCTATTTTGATTTGTCAGCAGCAAGTGAAATTATTAGACCAATGAAAATTATCACCTATTAATGTTAACTAAATATGGTACGGTAGTCCATATATTGAGCTGATAATGCTTTTTACCATTGCTTATAAAATATATTGTATACATGAAGAGAGAGAGAGAGAGAAATGGGGTTTAACGTCCACTCGACACAAACTAGGTCATTTCGGGACTAACACATGGTTCAATTTTATTTCAATAATTCGCTTGCGCTTAGGGGTCTATAGCAGTGGGAGGAAACCGGAGGACCCGGAGAAAACCCACGAGGTTGAAGAGGCCACCCTACTCCTTGTCATGTACAACCGGGGCTTCGAAACCCTGCCAGTTGACTCAATGACAGACCGTATGATACAGTGCAGCGCACAAGTGCTAACCATTCGGCCATCCAATCCCCCTTGTAATGTATATATGGAGTAGAGACATTAATTAGAAATATACCATTTTTTACTTGACCATTACATGTACTTCAAAACATGTAATGATTACATTACATGTACATGTACCTTTACACTAGCTACAATAATAAGTTATAATCTGTCTATATTACCAGTACAATATGTTTTATTTATTCATTATTTATTATTGTCCGAAACTGAATCCGAAACCTTGTTATTATAACCGTCGCCTGTGTGAAGTCTGAAGGGTTGCAGGACTGAAATGTGCTATCTTTGTCATATGCATTCAAATTGGCCGACTTTGATACATAACTATCATTACCGGTACTGACTTTTGTATCTGGAGATGAGCTGGAGATACATGTATCAGAGGTTGAATTATTCAGTCTAAAACGTAGACAGTGTAGACGAGTTCAGTCAATGAGGCATAAATTTCAGGGAGCCCTGGTGGGTAAGGTGCTGGCTCGCTAGCCTGGAGGTTGCGGGTTCGCTCTCATTTCTCGCTGAGAAAGTTCATCAGCATCAGGATTATCCGTATGCCCGTCTCCATCATTAGACCAAGTTGAATGAGACGACAGCAACTTCATTTCCATATTTTATCAGAATTATTTATTCTATGCAGTGTCAGTGTTTAAAAAAAAAAAATGAAGACAACAAAATGAAAATGACACGTCAAATTCTTTGCCTTTGACTTCCCGTCTGGACAGTGGACGTCTGCCTTGACTTTACTAAATCACTCGTCCGGAAAGCAGCAAATATCACCGGCTCAAGCTTACTACAGGTGAAAATGTTTACCTTTCCCAGCAAAACTGGATTATTCAATATGTCAATACCATAGTGAATTGTTTTCAACTCGTCGAAATCAAGGAAAGGCTCGACTTCATAAATAATTGCTGAAAATATTGTGCAGCTTAAAAATAAAAAGTTTGTTTTCGTCGCCATTTTCTAATATGAACTTAATTTACAAATTTAGTATTCAGGTTATTTATAAAACGAAATCGGTATAATTTATCAAAAACAGTTTAACATAATATCAAAATATGAATCTATACTATGAATTATATTCAGCTGTCTCAAATGATCATCAATGCCATTATAACTAGCTACATAATAGATATGAAGATTATCATTTCGATTTACATAGTTTCCAGTCACATAATTTAAGCTACTAAGGATGGATCATCATTAGACTCGAACGTCAAAACTGGGTGATGTATTTGTAATATTGAGTCTGGTTAACTCAAGTCTATAACTTCTCCATGTGGCGTTTCGCGGAAAATATGACACTTTTTCAGCACAGGTAAATTTGATAAAAAACTGAAAAAATGTATGGCATATGATAGATTTTGAATTGCAATCTACAAATCAAGTACAAATCTTTTGTTTTAGGATATTCCTTAGCCTCCTTCATCGTATTTGTTGACAGGAATGTTTTTTAAATGAGCAATTTGCTGTGCGTTCAGTTCAGTGAATTGAATTAACCCGTTAAACGCCCCTTTGAACGTTTATAATATTGTTTGTAATTCTGGGGAACGCGCACATTTCATATTTGTGTGTTTCTTAATGTAATATATCAGTGTCCGTGCAGGAATTTCTAGTTGGTGTTGCAGTACAAGTCCTCTTCCGAAAATTAAAAAATTCCAGAAAAAATAAGCAATTTTGGGTGCAGAACACAAAAATGACACTACAGAAATAATTGCATAGCAATCCATCAGCGAGTTGGCAGTTGGCTCAATATGTATTATTATGCATTTTACTTTTACTAGTATCATTAATTTACAAATGTGTTTAATTCATTTGAGTAATCAGAAGTGTCATACATTTTCGGTGTATTCCCACGAAAGCGCCGTTACAGAGCGTGACCAAAATTAATCCTTCCCGCGAAGGCGCAGATATCGACTTGTCGGCTTTCGTTTGAATGGAGGCATTCAATGGTCAACAAGCTAGTTGTTAAAGCTCATCCGAATATTTTTGAAATGATCGCATTTTTACAAGAGCAAAATATTAATGAAGTTAGAATTGCACAGTATGCCGTGGAACAGGAACCACCAAGGAAGAGACATAAATATGCCCAAAGTCAGCTCCAGGAATTAAAAAGAAGACACGAAGAAGAGGAATTAACTTTAGTCGAGTATTTAGACAGGGTGTCTTTGGCGAATTTAAATTAATTTGTTTTTATTTCTTAAAGTCCTATGCCAAACATGTTAAAATGTTAGTTAATTAGTCATATTAGGGATTATGAAAGTGTAAATTCTTATAACAATTTATAACACCATTGTTACATTTTTATTCCATTTTAATCCCTAGGAGCTGGATTCCCACAAAGACGGTCAATAACTGCGCCTTCGTGGGAATAAACCACATTTTCTAATCATCATAATAGTTTATTATGATAATTTTAAAGAGACATTGTTCAATTTTAGTAAAATCTTTATACACAGAATTTAAATACCGTAGCAGAAATTTGATTTGGGATTGATGATGTTATTGTGACATAAAAATTTTATTACTAGAAGTGGCTCCAAATTCTAAAATGAGGGCTATACCGTATTTCATATAGTTCTTACAAATTTCATACTTTTAACATAAAGTGAACAATTTTGATGCGTTTTATATATATTGTTATATATATTTACTGGACTATAAGTACACTATTCTAGAAATTAAAATAATTGTTAAAAAAAAGTCTGCCTATTCTGTGGAAAAAGTTTGACATTTCTCTTTCATAGTATCTGTACCTACATAAAAACGAACTCATTATTTTTTTTCTTTTTAATTAATTACGTGTAGGCCTACACTTATTAAACATACATTAATTATGCAAGAGCTAAATCTGCCTATTGCAGGTTTTTCTTTAGGCCTGAAATGTTATCTAAATTTTTAATTAGACATTAATTAACTTACAGTGTATCCAGACCATAATCAACTCTCGATGTCATCGGATACTCGAGATTTTAACTAGATTAAAACGGTTCGCTATTTAAAAGTTTAATTTAAAAATGGAAAAGCGAGGCTAAGTCCCGATTATACCAGTGCCCTGGTTGCCACTGAGCACACATCTTGTCAAAACTACAAACAATGATATTTTTGAATTATTATAGCAAGAATGACCAACTCTTTATTAAACTCTTAACTAATGTATCTTTAATTAACTAATGATAAATAAGATCTTTGAGTCTTTTCTTTTCATGTAAACTAGATTAAGTGTCTGAACCTGTCTACATTTCATATTAATGATCTAAAAAAAATTTATTGATAAATTATTAATTAACTGAAAAGCTGTATTTTTTATATCTCCCTTCTATATTAGTTACGGTACTTGACATTATATTTAATTGAACTGACATTTCATAGAATGTGTGGAAAATCTTATGTTTTCTAGTTGAAAGATTTTTGGTGATATTTCAATCAATAATCTGTCTGTGTCACGCCACACTAGAAGTTAAAAACATTTGCACTAATCAGAGATTATTTTGTATCTCAGTAGAATAATACCTGAATTCAGATAAATCATACCAGATCATCCATGAAATTCTTTCACTAGACAGTTAATGAGATAACAAAATCTTAAATAAAATTAATTTTAAAAAGTTAAATGTTATCTTTGACACTAGTCTGTATACTAATTTGTTCAGGTTCTGGAACAGAAATGCAAAGTAAAACAGATTTGTTTTTAGCTATGTGAACTCCTCAAAAGTAGAACAGATTTGTTTTTAGCTATGTCAACTCTTCAAAAGTAAAACAGATTTGTTATGTGAACTCCTCAAAAGTAAAACAGATAGCTATGTGAACTCCTCAAAAGATAAGTGATATCAAGTGTTCTAGAAAGAGGAAGCATAACCTGCCTCATGCATGACAGTTATATGATCTTTGATAGAAATTTTCCATAAAATTGAGTCACCTACTCAGACACTATTTCTGTTAACAACCAGGTTAGACTGTCTTTCAGACTTCAAAACCGACTAATGGCATCATTTTGACTAAATACATTACCGTTGTAACGATTATATGGTTAAGCGAGAAATTAAAACAAAGCAAAATATTAATCACTTACATGTCCATGCCAGAATAATCGTAAGGGTGCCCCACACAGCCAAAAATGGGTTATAATAAAAGTTTTAACTTAAAGATAGGTTCCCAGAAAAGTATTTATCGGGTGGTTATTTCCAATAAAAGAATGGCAATTTTGGTATATATGGAAAGTAGAAATATCCAATCTTACTAGTAAAATACTGGATGCTCTGAAAAATACTCATGGAGCACATGCAGGACAAAACTGTAAGGGTTTCCCTAATCGATAGCCCGACGATTAGGAGTGTCTGCACGTGTGACGTCAAAGGTCGCACGCGGAGATTGAGCGCTTGATGTACATGTTGATAAACTTTATGAAGAGTTAGACATACAACAGCTTCTGAGTTAAAAACCACGGAAAAAAAATTTGGGCAGTGGATAATCCGACTATTTAATTACATGTAGGCTTCGATATTTGTAATAAATCGTTAGCGATTAAAGACAACATCGTCTTGTGTATGCAATGAATTCTCATCCGACTTCACCCTACTGAAATAGGTACATTTGTAAGTCACATGACACAAACATGACTTCTTTTGATTGATTTTTTTATAGTAAGGGCATTCCTTGGCAATTGCAATATTTTAAGAACGATTTGAAGCAAAATTATGATAAATTAATTAGTTTCAATATGTTTTTAGTCCAAATATATCATCAAATCACCCAGTTTGTATGCAGGGGATGTATCTTTAAATGTACTTCAGTGAATAAATTTGTATTCAACATCAAATGGCAATCATTTTTAAAGTGATTACTGTACGAAATGTTAATGAGTTTGAATTATAGTAATATTTAGATTGTCAGTTGTGACACCAATTTTAGAATATTAGTTTATTTTTCAATATTATAAACAATGCTGTTCAGTGTGGCATATTTTGGTTTAGATCTTGTAATATTACAACCGTAATCATCAGAATTTGTGACTTTTTAGCTGTCTATAATGTCTTCTACAAAAGTGAGTTGAGAAAAAAAAATAGAAATTGATCATGTTTCTTTAAATTAAATGAACATGGACGAAACACATGTATCATGTTTTTTATGTTATCTTTTGATACAAGTCATTATCTACTTTCTTATCTGTGTAATATAAAGGCCTGTTACAGTATTACAATTGTAAACTTATACATGTATACATGACCTTACTCTGACACACATACCACTATATAGTAGTATTATGAGACGACCCCTCACAGCGAATCAACTTCACAATTTGGTGTGTATTTGACAAGGGAAGGTGTCATATCAAACTCTCGTTTTCTTACCTGTTAGTTCACACCTGTGTTTTAAGTTTGACAAATAATCGGATTTACCTGTGGATATATAGCTAAGTCTTTTGTTTTGAGTGTTTTGGAGGATATCTGCATGTAGCTGTATATTAAGTACATATGTACAGATCTATGTAATTCTGTTGATTGTCAATGTTATTATATATGGTTAATCCTAGAAATTTTTGACTGTATAGATTGTACTTCTGCTGAAGCTGGACGTAAATTAAATGTTGAAGGCACCGACAGATTTTAATATAAAAAGTTTAAAAGTGAGTTGACTATGAATACATAGTAAATGTTCATGAATGTCAATTAAATTGATTCTAAATTTTTAATATTTGCATGGATATTTAATATTTAATAAGGAAAGTTGTGTGTGTTGGACTGTTGGTGGTTGTGGTGGTGGTGGTGGTGGGGGGGGGGGGTTGCAGATCTCAAATCTGCTGTTATGATTTTTCAAGGGTAATAATATAGGCTCTATTGGGCATTCATAACATTTTCGGGTAGTGGTACATGTAAGAGTTAGGGTGTCAATTTCGATCAACATTCTTTGATAATTTCTGGCCAAAAACTTTCCTAGCCTAATGGTGAGATC